TTAAAATGGGTAATTTTTAATTTGTAATTTCAAATTTTATCATATAATTTAATACTTATTAGCTAGAATAAATTCTATTTTAGTCTAACCCCAACATTAAAGCATTAAATAATTATTATACCCTTTGTTTGTTGTCAAGTTTTTTGAATTCCTGTATACTTGTATTTTGATTGGTCATTCCAGCTTATGTAACAGCGTTTCCCTTAACAAGGGGTGTTTAATTGTTTTGAACCTTTTAAAACCTTTTATTCTGCATTCAACGTTATCAAATGGTAAGACACCAGAAGTGTTGAAACAAAATGGCTATTTTTGTAGTGATTTTATAACATATTTATGTTATAATTTTCGAATAAATAATTATATATATACACACACACACACACACTAGTAACACAATATTTTTATAAATATTGTATAATTCTAAAATTAAATGGGAATACTATTGCATATATGTAGTCTCAAGTTCTCAAGCAAAGTTAAGTTTATCTTTTAGTCTTCTTCCATGTGATTCGGAGTTCACTTTTTGAATAATAAGAATTGTATATCATGGGAGTGGGGGGGGGGGAGGGCATAATGATTTTAGAGATGCTTAGGTGGGGCATGGCCCAAAAAGGTGCCAAACCACTGGTCTATAGTAAAATCAATAATATAAAAAAAAAATTAAGTGTTACTTTTATTTTTCAAAATATTTTTTTTTTTTTAAATATTTTATGGGTGAATTTGTATTTTATGGTGTAGCTTAGAAATTTATTGAGCTGTATGATAACTTAATGGGTTGTACAAGACTTTATTAGTGCTATAAAAATGAATTAAAAATTTGTACATTAAAAATTATATGAACTATACATAAGACCTACCTATTGTGCATACAGTTGTCCTCGATTGACTCTGAAGGACGAGAATTGGAATCTGGTTAGTCTTTTTTGCTATTTTCTTGTTCATTGTTATTTCTATGCACTTTTTTTACAGTGTTTTGTTATCATTGTTCTTCTTCCCGTTATTTGTTTTTTTTTTTTCTATTGTGGGTTATAGTAATATGTGATTTTAATGTCTGTTTTTATAGCATGAACTTAAATTTACTTTATTTACCTAAAATAGGTAATTCAAATATTTTGGCTCGATTAACAATATCTTGATTTTAAGATAGTTTAAAATTTTTCACGAAGAGCGTGAAAAAAGTTAGTATGGAGCCTCACATTATAGTGAACTATCTTCATTTCCTTCATATTCCATTCGTGAGATGTAAGTTCCAATTTAGCAGCTTCCCATGAAATGCTTCTTTGTGGAACCAGCTGGATGCTTCTTCAATTGCTACAATCTTAATCTTGGTATAGACTCTGTGTGTGTGTATTTTTAAAAAAAATTTTTTTATTTATTTATTGATTTGTTTTTTATGGCTTATGAATTCTGCAGGTTATTTAAAGCCCCCCCAATTTTTAGATTCTAATAAATTTTTTTTTAATTAATGATGATTTAGTGAAGTCTTACTCATAAATGAAAGGTGGAGAAGAGGTGAATCCATGCCTTTCCCAAGAGTATTTGGGAGTAAGTGAATATAATGAACCAGAGAGGAATTGGAACTCAGTTCTCCACTTAACAATTCCAAGCCATATTCACTTATGCACGAGTACTCTTGATGAAGATATGAAACCATCTTTTCTCCCTACGTCTATGGGTTAATTAATTAGTAAGACTTGTACCAGTAAATCATTATCTAATAAAAAAAAAAAAAAATTTCTTACAATCTAAGAATATTTTCTCTTTTTAAAAAAAGTAAAAGTTTATTTACACTATTTACATTGTTTGGACTGTTGTCCTCATCTTTGTTGCCATATTCACTCCTTCAATATCTGTCTATATTTCTGAGATGAGGCATTGTAATTATTTTATTTACATTGTTTGGACTGTTGTCCTCATGTTTGTTGCCATATTCATGACCTTTCGGCTGTTGTATGCTCCAGCCTTTTTCAGGTGACTGGAATTTCTGACTGAACCCTTTATTTTGCCCACTGGGATAGATATTTCTAGTTACATGTGCCATGCCTCTTGTTGCTCTATGACTATTTCAATGGAAAGCATTCAGATGAACTATATTCCTTATTAACACCAGTTCTAACCTTCATGACTATGACATGCCATACCACTCACATTGTAGCGAACCACCCTCATTTCCTTCATATTCCATTCATGAGATGTAAATTCCACTTTAACAGCTTCTCATGAAATGCTTCTTTGTGGAACCAGCTCCCAAGAGGATGCTTCTCCAATTGCTACAATCTTAATCTGTTCAAGTTTAGGATTAACCGTTATCTTTCCCGGATATCCTCATAAACTGTGCCTCTTACTCTGTAACTCTCTACTTTGAGTGGCTCTTGGGTCTTGTACAAAGTGAATATTGTAAAACACACACACACACACTTACTTCCCTTCACATCATAATTGAAATAAAATCCAAGTTTAATTGATATCTTTTATGAAATAGATAACTGATTAGTAGTTGGAAGCAGCAGCATTAGGTAATCTGAAACAATTTTGTTACTGAGTTATCTTGTGGTTGGCACTCAGTATGTTAAACCTAATGTTCTTATTACTTACTCTGGTGCTGTGAGTTCAATCCCTTGGCCTTGTAATAAAACTTAAACTCTGTAGAATTTTTGGTATTCATGATTTAGAGCAGGAGTCACCAAACATTTTGCACAGAGGGCCAGATAAGAGAGAAAATGATGAGCATGGGTCGGATGAACCATTTTGTTCAATACAATACACTGAATGCACAAAAAATAAAGATAAACATGCTTATTTATTAAAAAGTTATCCAAGAAGGCGACAATAGCAATAAAATAGTTATATCACACCAAGTGTGCACATATCCAAATCTCACAAATTAAACCGCATAAAAGGTTAGTGAGATTTGTGAAACTGGTGTTTACCTTTTAAGATATAATTAATATTTATTTTGGTATTGCTGCATCCAACCAAGAGAAATGCTTTCACCAGTCAACCTTGTTACATGTGCTGACTTTACATTCTTTATAATAAATTCAGGCAAAATATATGATGTAATTCACTGAAGTCAGTCCTTTTTATATATGGTACTCTTCAAACCGGTTTAAACATGGCAATGCATGTTGAAACATAATTGCTGCAGCAGGCTCGTAATCACTTTTCTTAGAAACTTCATTGCAGGTTCATACACAAAAAGCACTCGAGATATCAAAAGTTGCCAAATTTTTTATTTCACTGATTTTCCTAAAACTTATATTACTGTAAGATGCAAAAGTCAGATTTGCCAAATTTTTTACTTACATTTATTTTAATTTTTTCTACATAGTTTAACTACAATCTATTAATAATTCCATATAAATAATTATATTTTAGCTCATTTGTGGCACAGTGAAGCGGTGGGCTGAATGAACAGCCGTAATTTGGTGACCCTAGAGTGCTTATTCTATAGCAGTATTTCTCAGCTGGTATTCCCTGGAACCCTAGAAAATCTACAAGAAACAGTGATAAATAGTCTAGCGCATTTTTGAGTGTTTTGTTTAATTTTATAGCCTTTTACTATATGCATATTATTTTTTAATTACTTCACCTCAAGCAAGGCAATAAAACCACTAAGACCCAAGTTGTTACTGAATGTTAGGGAATGAGAAAAAATCTACTATTAAGAAGAGATGACCTGCAATCTGTTAACTTGGGCAAAGAATGGTTTTAATGTCTCCAAAACGAAACTGCTCTCTTTTAATTGTCTTAGAGAACCATTTTTGCTTTCCATTAGCATGGCTGATGCTAACCTCTAGAAGAGTAATTAAGTGCGCCTTCTTGGCCTAACATTTTCTGCTGACATGATGTAAAAAGATAATAAATCTATTGCTAGAAAAGTTGGTTCACTGTTTTATGCTAGACAATTTTTCTTGCCAGAATCTATCCTCCACATCTATAAGTCTACCATTTGTCCATGTATTGAATATTGCTGTCACATCTGGTTTGGTGCTTCTACTATATATTTAGAGATTCTTGATAAAATCCTATAGAGGAATCTAGAATGTTATTGGTCTTGGCTTCACTTGCTTTCCTTGCCTCTTCTATAAATATTTTTGTGGTAATTTTGATGAACTTTTCCTCTTTGGTACCTCAACTTTATGAATTTAAGTGCAGTACTGTTGTAATGGAATGTCCCACACTCAATATCACCTATGTGGACTGACTATATCAGTAGCTATATATAGTTAAATGAAAAGGATATACCTGGGGTTTGCTTTTTTGGGAATTACTAGCCTGGACATAAAACCAAGTCTTATTCCGAAAGAATATTTTTGTCCATCGTATTTGTCATATTGAACTGAATTGTATTTTGATGAATATTGTCTTGAAAAGGTTTAATAAACGAAAACGCAACGTCGACATTTTTCTTTCATTTAACTACATTTAAGGATTTTGTTGTTTAAAATTTCTTCATTCTGTCGGATTTATATCCATTTTTATATATCAGTAGCTATATATGTGAGCACAGGATTCTCTTTTACAAATAAACCTGTCTTTCTTTCTTTCATCTAAACCTCTTTCTTTCATCTACGTGCGTATTGCTGTTCCTTCCCTCTAGTACCAACTTAGTCTGTTTTTAACCTCTTTAAGGATACAACAAGTACTATACTGACTGCTAGGTCTCGTTATTTTACACTTGAACTAAATGTAACCATAAGTTCTATTCTGACAGTTTCTTCTCTCGCACTTCTCACTTGTGGAACTCTCGTCCATCTTCTTGCTTTCTAGTCGACTGTGATCTTCAAAGATTTAAATGCAGTGTTGGTTGTTATCTTTTTGCCTTGTTAATTCCTGTTCTTGTTTTTTCTCAATGTTTTTCTTTTTGTATTCTTTCACACTTTGTAACTCCTTGTGTTCTTGTGGCTTTATTGCTTTGCTTGGGGGGAAATGATTAAATGAAAGTAATAATAATAATGCAGAAAAGAAGTAATTTTTTTTTTGTATTTCATTTTCAGTTATCTTTGTCAGACGACTACCCACATTCCATAATGGACTACCAAACTGAGAACAAAGAAAATATTTATTGTAACATACACACTTGGTGAGTTATCTTTTTATTCTTAACTGGGGATGTGCAGGTGGTGTAATGAATAGTGGCTTAGTGTCAGAAATTGGTGAGCCAAGTTCAAATTCCAGTCAGGTTTATTACATTTGATTGTGATCACAAATCCCATCAGGGTCGTAGGGGCATCACATGTACTGTAGCCAGCCAGATATAACCAAAAATTGTTAATTTGGCAATCCTAAATTAATCTACTGTATCTTCATCTCTTAAGCTATTCATATCAGCTTTGCGTTTCTTCTTTTGCACTGAGGCTGTCTTGGTACAGATAAAGCAGACAAATTGGTCTTTCTATTGAAATTCATGAATGCAAAAACTGCTCATGTTGAATTTAAGATTTGGTAATGGTTAAAATTTTATTTTATATTTAAAAAAAATAATTCAATTGATTAATAAATATTCGATTCAATCATTACACTATTTACATGGTTCAAACTGTTGCCCTCATCTTTATTACCATATTCATAACGTTTCGACTGTTGTACACTCTGACCGTCTTCAGGTGATATTAGTTTTGAACTGAAACCTTTTAACCTATGGTGGTAGAGTGTCCTAATTCCATCTCTTTGAATATCTCAGTTTCAGTTAAGATTTGCATTACCAGCAGGAAATAACTGAAATTGAGATATCCAAAGTCATAGCATGTGGAATTGGAAAAATTCGTTGGCTAAATAAATGTTTCACTTTGAAATTCTAATATCACCTGAAAATGGCCTTACAATGGCTGAAACCTTGTGAATATGGCAATAAAGATGAGGACAACAATCTGAAGAATGTAAATAGTTACAATACCTCATCTCAGAAATATACAGGTTGATTCAGTGTTTAATACTTTTTCTTTCTGCATGAAGATACATGAAAACAAAAATGTTTTATTTTTAAATCTTTTGCTTTAAATAAAGATTTTTGTAAAATTGATTTAAATTGGTGATATGTTTTTTAAAATTATTTTATTTAAATCTAACAACCCTGATTCAAGTGTATTAATATATATGCATCAATTAATTTTTGCTTTTTGTTCTTGCTCCCAATTTTTCAGTGAAAAAGAGTATCTTAATGCTATTGACTATATCATCAAACATGGAAGTCGACGATCAAATCGTACTGGAACTGACACCTTGTCTGTGTTTGGCATGCAAATGCGGTATAATATACGAGAAGGTATTTCGCTTATATTTCTTTCTTTTTGCTATTGTTTATTTCAATCATTTATATTAGAAACTATTGAGTAGCATTTAAGCTATCTCCTGTGGAAGGCTCTTGATTAGACCTTCATTACAATAGGTAGGGAGAAGTAGATGCGATAGGCAACAATAAACTACAGAAGAACTCAAAATTGATTGCTGCATTTAAGTATTGCATTAATATTTAAGCTTACCTTTTAAAAGTTCAACGATAATTCTTCTGCTGCCACTTAATTTAAAGACGATTTGATGTATGTAGGTCCTTACTTCCTGTACAAACAATTATTTTTATTTCATGGGTGACGTTTTGCTGGATTCCTCAATTAATTTTTTTATTATTTATTTCAAGCTATAAAAATTATTGGACAAAAAAATTAATCGCAAAAACTCGCCAAAAACAATCACAGTAATGAAAATTTGGGAATACAAAATTTCAGAATTGCGGGTCTGAATCTGGCCCAAAATGTTTTTAATTTGCTCACAGTCAGCCTGATTCCAAAATGGTATATGTTGGGCTACTGTAAAATTGAGAAAAGTGTGACACACTGACATTTGCATTTATTATATAGAAGATATTTAAATGAAGATACCGTGAGGTATGTGTTTTGAAATAATTTCTCTTGTAATATAAGTGTTTGAAATCCTTGTAATAAAACATATATACCTTCTGTAAGAATTGTTACATTATTGTAGGGTACTCTATTGGATCGCTAAAAAAAGAGCATAGCATGATTAAAAAGACGCCAAATTGATGAAAACAAAATTTTCGCGTCTAAATGCTTATGTTATTTTTTTTAGAGGAAAGATCAAAAGTATTTTTACTTATTTTTTGAAAATTTTTCCTTCTTTTTTTAGAACATTGTAAATTTTGATTAAAAGACCTTGTTTCTCTTTTTATCAGCTTGGCTGATAAATTAACGTATAAACATTTTAGCGTTTTTCCGTTTGACACACATTAATTTGGAAAATCTTGCAAAAATGAAAATAATTGTCGGATTTTAATGAAATTTTCAGAAACTATTTACAAATGATGGAACTTAGTATAAATACATTTTTTTTAGTAAAGTCATCGCAGAAATTTTTTTTTTTTTCATATGTATTTACCCGCTCTGACTAATTGTACGAAAACTCTATAATTTCAATTTTGAGGAGTTTAGTGATTATATTAGTTAAAAGCACAATGCTTTGAGGAAACAAAATCATGTTTTTGTTTTTTTTTTTAGTTGGAGCCCTTCTACCTGAAAATTGTCTCTGAAGTGTAACATACAAAAAACTCAATAAAACAAAAATATTATTTAATTTCAAAAGCTTTTTAATTGCTTTTATTTATTCAATAAACATGGACAATATTGTCTGAAAGCAAAAAGATATTTCGATGAAAAATGAATTTTTAAAACAATTACCTACAATTATTTTTTATTTCTGCAACATTGTTTTACATTATGTTGTTAATTCTTCTAAAATTATGGAAAAGCTTGTACAGCTTAACAGATGTTGTTTTTAAGTAGATATATATTTACAGATTATAATTTCCAAAGCTTATTACAAACTAATGAGTCTTCGTATATTAAAAAAATTAATTTGTCAATAATGTGTTTACCAATGAAATCTATGGAAGACCGGAAGTTTGGTGCGTGCAATAAAAATAACGTCACGTGGATTGAGTTTCGGTCTAGTAAGGGTTGTTCTTCGCTGTATACGGCCCCTTAATTTAGCAAACTGTTCCTGCTGAAACACGTGTGCATCATTTTCATTAAGTTAAAATAGGTACTTTCATCTACTTTTCATCGTAGTCCTGTAATGTTTGGTTGAAATCGGTTGAAAAATGTAGGAAATTCGATCCAATATGTAAACGTAATACACACAACCTGGGTTTTATAATAAGTAAGATTCACATTTTGCCTCTAGAAAACTAAAAACTTTTCAGTCATTTACACTGGCCAATTTTACTTTTAAATGAAACATATTGTTTGCTTTCAGAAAATACCTAGTTTCATGGGATTCAGATAAACTTTCCCTGGTATTTTTCCAGATAAGTCATTTTTATTACCTTAAAAATATAAGAATCCATTTATTTATTTTTTCCGAGAATATAGGCTGTGACAAAATGACTTTTACTATGTTTGATTATTTTTACTGGGGATAGAAATTTTTTTTATAATAGCAAATCTGAATTGACTTTAGAGGGGTCTATATGGGCCCTCAAACAGCAGTGCAGCACTTGTATTTTAATTTTTTTAATAGTATTTATAATTTCTCCAGATAGTATCAACAAACTTATGGTACATAGTACTTAACAAAAAAAAATTGTATTGGCGGAAGTTTTTTTACTTTAAATATTACAAGTTACTACTTATGTCCGCTTAAAAATAATAATATGTCCATTCTGTGCTTCCGTATGGGAACTCGAATCTCACGTCAGCTGTCAATAATTTATAGACGTCAGCACTCTGTCAATCGACTTGACGTTAAGATCGGCTCTTTTATCTTTAAAAACATTTTTTCTCTGAAGAAAGTAAGTAAAAAGTTTCTTTCAAAATATTTTAAATAAACTTCAAATTTTCTAAATTTCTTCGAATAAATATTGAAATACGTATAATTAATTTTTAAACGAATTTTAAACGAAGAATTTAACTTATTTTTAGAATTTTAAAAAATATGGCTGATATAGAGCTTTTTTTTCGTTTTTTTCTGTAAACAAGTTTTTTTAACTAAAATTTCGGACATGCTAAGAATGAGTAAAAAATTTCAAAAATTACTCAAAAAATACTTTAGTGTTTCTTCTCAATAATGAAATATACTTTTATCATGAAAAAATTTTTTCCGTTAATTTTCAGACCGTTCTTGTCATGCTATCTATTTTCGCAAAAAAAAAAATGGAGTTCCCTACATTATTGCATGTAATAGATACGGAAATGTACCAATTATTTTGGCACTGTTACAATACATAATTTTTGTTGACTGGTGATATTTGTCTTACTGGTAGGACTGGTGGTATCCAATTTGGTTTTCTCTTGTTTTATTTGAGTTTTTGCTTTGTTTGAAATCTTTGGAAAGAAATTGAGAGTTTGAACAGGTGACAAAGTTTTAGCTGAACATGGGGGAATCGCTTGTAAACCTTTTGCATCTGCCACTATTAGCACTCCTATATACATAAAAAAAAAAATGAATGTGTGTGTAATTGTGTATTTGGGCAGCAATTCCTTGAAGATGGCTGATAAGGCACTGTGATTACGTTTTTTATTTTTCTTGTATTTATACAAGAGATTTCTTTTTTGGATAGTGCATAAGAACTGTCCAAGGGATCTGTAGATCCAAATGATTTCAACTTAACTATTAGCCATTATCAAAGCTGTTTGTGATAGCTTTTTTAAAAAATTTTTTTTTTTATATAAAGGTTTCCATTATTTTTAATTGTTTTCTGCAGTTTAATGAGTGTATTATGCTGGTGATTTCTACAAGAGTGTGTGTGTGTGTGTGTACGTGTATATATATATATATATATATATATACACACACACACACACACATAGGGTGTTTGCAATCTTTAAACAATTTCAAAAAGGCATTACAAAAAAAACTTAGACAAGGTGGTAACTAAGTTTTTATTGTATATTAAAGTTATTATTAAAGTTCTTTGTATTTTTATTAATGTTATGTTTTTCATACAAGTGTGTGACAGAAATACCCCCCCCCCCATACAATGGTAAGACATTAGTGGCGATGGTGTCTTCATCTAGCTAATGTCTTACCATTATGTGGAAGCTATTTCTGTCATACCCTGCATGTCAAATCGCCATTAATACTGCTTTTATGTTTCAGAGGTTACATGGATAAAAATTGAATATCACTTATATGTCCTTTGTGCAACAAATGAGGCCCCATATAGAAATTTATTAACTAGTTGTATATAAATTTCACTATTTATTTCATATTATGTAAACATTTCAACATGATTTGGTTTCTGTAATTTTAATACATTTTTCTCATTCCTCTAATGACTTTGTTGACTCCCTGTGTATGTTTTTGTGTGTGTATTCCTGGAGTCTATGAAACTCTGGAGTTGGGATGCTGAAGGTAACATCAATCAGCTAAGTGACAAACGTTTTACTTGTATTAATTCTATCTATCTATCTATCTATCTATCTATCTATCTATCTATCTATCTATCTATCTATCTATATATAGATTAATACAAATATAAAATTTGTCACTTAGCTGATTGATGTTATCTTCAGCACACTGACTCTAGAGTATTGTATGTGAACCTTTTTGTAATCGTTCAATGCATGTCTGCCAATTTTCTCATTTTCATTATTTTTATATTAAGTTAAAAAATAATTTGTGTGTTTTTTGTTTTTTTTTATTGGTGTTAGATTGATTTTTTTTTTCTTTATGTATGTGTGTGTGTTTGTCTGTGAATACTCATGTTTGTGTGTGTGTGTGTGCCTTTACATAAGTGTATGTGCACATGTGTATAATGTCGTCATTTCTCTTTTTCGTAATTTTCTTCTCTCCTAGTAATGTCTGACTATTCCTTTTTTCTTTGTTCCTCTTTCAGTTCTGAGTGTCAAAGATAATGTAACAATGTTATTTGTGGTGTCATGGACAGGACTTATTTTGGGGCTAATTTTTAATGTTTTGGGGTTTCATAACTTTTGAAAATATAGGTGTATTTTTTTTTTTTTATTTCTTGTTTGTCTTTTTTTTTTTTTTTTTTTTTTTAAATTAATGCTTAGTTGACACATTACCATTCCTCATTTGTCAATGTCTTTAAAGCCTTTTGTTTTTCCTGCTTTCTTCTTGGATAGCATTTCCTCTGTTCACCACCAAAAGAGTCTTTTGGAGGGGCATCTTGGAAGAGATGCTTTGGTTCATCCGTGGTTCCACAAATAGCAATGAATTGAAGGATAAAAATGTGCACATTTGGGACGCCAATGGATCTAGAAGTTTTCTGGACAATCTCGGATTTTTTGAGCGTGAGGAAGGTAAGTAACGTAGTTGCTTGGAATCACTTTAATTTAATATTGATCACCTTTTCATAAATTTGGTATCACTTTGACCTTAGTGGTGCTGGGCATTTTGGTTCTGGATCATTTGGTTAGTAACACTAAAAGTAAACCTCCTTGTCATACTAAAAAAAAATGTATGCTGTTGTTAGTTGGGTGATTAAAACGTTTTCTTTCCAACCATGAGACCTTGGTTTGAATTTCAAATTTTGATTCATCAGGTAGATGACTTCTTAATAATATCTTGGAAATCTTTGGAAAGTGCCTGAAAACTATACCACAGGTGAACCCAAACCTTGTAAGTGAAGTTAGATAAATGAAACTGTTGCTTTATGGTTGTGCTAGCATGAAGTCACAAGCCATTATGACTGATAGCATGAGTTTACTGGTCTTACTGATTATGCCAGATTATGTTCCAGAAACTGTAAGGCCCGTTCAGCATATTTGCAGTATAAACCACACTTGGGCTTGGTGAAGAAACACAAACATGCCTGACCAGGTGTCTCCAAGAGGGATGGATCGATCCCCGCCCTAGTAGAGGGGCGTACTTGGAAATAAGTGACCATTATCAACAGGTAAAATAAAAATCACTTGATTTGCATAAGAAAGTTTCTTCTAAAAAGAATTATGACAGGTCAGTGTTACATTAGGAAATTTAAAATTAGGATTATCAACACCTGTGCTAATGTGGAAAGGTATGTCTTTATGTAGCATTGCCTGCTATCAATGTAAATATTTTCAAGACACCATTGTGATACTATGGACACCCACATAGAAAGGAAAAAGACGGTTTTATCTTGATCTTAAACCTGCGTTAATGACAAATTTTTAAAGTACTTGTAATTCTTAGTTGACAACTTGTTTCTTTCCAATTCTCTCTTGACTCATTGAGGGTTTGAAGCGCATGTAACACAGTTGTCTTGGGAGGCAGATATTGCTTTGTTTTCTTCGGGTGTCCTGTCATCCCACTTGACAAACAAAGGTAATTTTTCATGATTTATAATTATTTTTTTTTATATAAGCACATATTTTTCTTTTAATAAGATTTCTCAAATATTCAAGCCTGTTGACATAAATAAATAAATAAATAAATATTGTGTCTGTTTATTTATTTATTTATATTTTTATATATATATATATATATATATAATTTTTTTTTTTTTTTTTTTTTTTTAGAATTATGACAATATTTTATATAATTGTAACGTAACACTATAAGCATTTTTTGTATTGGGGTGTGTAAAGACCCCAGGAGACAATTCATTTTTGGTAATCTGAGGTGACTAACACACAGGGTTAAGTGTTTCTGTTTTGTGAGCCAGCAGATAGTTTCTCTTGGAGTTTGGACTTCTAAGTGGTATCCACCTAGGCAAAAGGGTAAAATGGTAGACTTTTTGGAGATCAAGTGAGAACAAAACTGGAAATAGGCTATATCTAGGAGCTGAACTATATTATTGCTTGGGATCGGAAAGAGTGCTGATCCACACTTAGCAGGAGAGGGACATGTTCATGTTGTAGCTCTGAAACCTTTATTTCATATTGCCAGCCACCAAGTGATTAACTGGGATAGGAAATGGCTTTGGAAAGGAATTTTAACACCTTCAAAACAAAACTGCTTTTATTTGACCACTATAGAGAACCTTTTCTGCCTGCCATCAACACGTCTGACAGTAGACTCCAAGAGAGCAACACATGCTGGCGTCTTCTTTTTCAATTGATTCAATAGCTGCATCTACTGCAAAGAACATTGGGTCATTCTGCCGTCCCAGGACATGTTTCTCTTCAGCGACCCTTTTGCACATTTACAAATCTAGTCTGTGCATTGAATACTGCTGCCATATCTGGTCTGGTGCTCCTGCTATTCATCTCAAGGTTCTTGACAAAATCCAAAAAAGGCTTTGTAATATACTTGATCCTGACTTGGCATCTCGCCTTGAGTTGCTTTCTCACTGATGTGACATGTCTTCCCTCTGTCTTTTCTACAAATATTTTCATGCCAACTATTATGACTAGCTTTTTCCCTGGTTCTCCAACTATATGAATTTAAGCGTACTACTAGATTGGCATCTAGGTCCCACCCTTTTACTGCTGGAATAGCTAAATGCAACTGCTCCTTCTACTCCAACAGTTTTATTTTCTTGCACTAGGGCTTTTGTGCTTATATGCATGTTTGTGCAGGTGTGTACCCAATTCACATTAAGACACACTCACACGTTCACATATAACTGCGATGGGTAAATTCTCGCTATTTTATATTTTTAATTTTACACGTGTGCATTTGTTTGTTTTTGATTTTGTCAAGTGCACAGTATAGTGGGGTCGGTTGGGCATCGTCTTTGAGGAAAAGAGTACCATGACACAATTCACTCTGACATAATTTGGAAACGTCCTGCTATATTGCTTGGCATTTGCGCCAGAAGCTGCAATATAAACATTTCAGAGTGTTTGGCTGTCATCCTGAGGTTAGTGCAGAGGATTTGGAAAGAGTTGGATGAGTGTAATGGTGAATATGAAAGTACAGCAGCTGATAAAACACACTGTTCATTCTGATAAGAAAAGAACACTGAGGCATACATCAAGTGCCTTGAAGTAGTACTGCCCTAGGTCAAGAGGTTGGCTGCTGGAAGACCCTATGTCTGGTAACAGGACTCTGCACCATGTGATGCAAGCAGGAGAACCCAGTCATGGCTGGGATGGCAGACAATTTTTGCGACCATATCATCCCATACATCTGGCTACCTAACTCCTCAGACTACAACCTCCTGGATTATTATGTGTGGGGTGCAGTTAAGCGAGAGACCAACAAAACTCTCTGTAAGACCAAAGATGAACTGAAGACAAGGATTATGGCAGTATTCACGAGCCTAAACAAGGAGGCCATCCAGAAAAGTTGCAGGAGATTCTGAAGTCATCTCGAGGCTGTGGTTGAAACCAATGACAATTTTATTGAATTAAATTCCTCTTTAGCATTTCAAGATATTTTTGGTAAATGTATCTGTTAAAATAAGTTGTTAGTGTTATTTTCATTTTTGTGGAATTTAGACAATTTCTCCTAAACACAAACACACACACACACACACACACACACACACACACACACTTATATATATATGATCATTTTAAGGTATATTTATGGGTAAAAGTGCTCCATATCAGGGATAGAACATAGGTAAATATAAAAGTGGACACTGAGATCATGACTGAGTGGCAACAGTCTGTTTCCTACTAGAAGATTGTGTTCAAGCCTGAAACTGGGACATCTTGTCTAGTTCTTATTTTTAATACTATTCAGTTATTGTTTACCCATTTCCACTGAATCCATGTACAGAGATTGAACTCACTATGTCACCAACATTTTAATCCACTTGGCCATTGTCCCATAGGATAATTCTTTATCCTTAAACATAACTTGCCTGCTGATTTGTGCTGCTGCCTGTCATGCTTGACTGATGAATAAGACACGGTATCCCTAAACATGGGCAGTATCTACTTCTCTAGATTAAATAAAGGGTTCAGTTCAGAATTTCCTGTAGGTTACCCAGATTGATAGACACCTGAAGAAGGCCAGAAATCACAACAGTTGAAATGTTGTGGTAACAACAAAGATGAGGATAATGGTCCAAATGTAAATAGTGTAAATATGTTGGTTATTATTATAGTGTACCTACTGACGATAAGGAGTATGCCCCCCTTTCCATAAATACAACAGTGAATACTGTATGTGGTCTGCATTTGGAGATTCATTGTAGAATTCACTTGACTCATTTTTAGCAGTTGACTATTTCTTCTACACGCTGCTGGTGAATCTTATATGTGTTCTTGTCCTAAGTATTATCGTGCATTATCAACCTTCATGTGATTATTCTATTCAGTAATCTTCCCTAGGTTACAACAGTTATCCATGAGAACTTGGGAACTGGACTACCCCCTTTTTTTTTTCAGGCAGAAAATTTCATCTCTGTTGGTAACAGGTATCATCTGATTGGTTATATCAGTCAGCTGACCAGCTATGTCTGATAAATTTTTATGAAGGTTAATTTGAACTCAAGAATGTCATCTCAAAGTTTTAAATGTTTCAAGCAAGAAGGAAAAAAAAAACAAACTCCCTGTCTTTATGGAACGTGATCATAATGCAAAAATATTGACCAATAATTTGTTAAATTCTGTCATTTGCTATTCTGTATAATTTCAGGTGATCTTGGCCCTGTTTATGGTTTTCAATGGCGCCATTTTGGAGCCGAATACACCGATTTCAAATCTGAATATGGAAAGACTGGTGTTGACCAACTTCATAACGTCATTGATCTCATCAAAAACAATCCAAATGATCGGCGGATAATCATGTCTGCATGGAATCCAATGGGTACGTATTGCTCAGCCTCATGTTGATATTGGAGATTTTATTGTTGGGGTTTATAGGCATGTCATGTTGAAACACCAGTTCTTGTATGATCACCGAAGTTAAGCAATGTCTAGCCTGGTCAGTACCTGAATGGATGACTGCTTGGGAGTACCAGGTGCTGTAAGCTTGGATGTGTGGGTGGTGTGATAACAGCTCAGAATTGGAAATCAGAGAGCTGAGTCCCAGGTTCAGCCGGGCTTGTTATATTCACTTAATGTGCAAATACCCTTGGGAAAAGTATGAATCCCTATCTTTTCACTCCTAGCTATGGATTAATTAGTACATCATTATTATTTCCAAAAACTTGTTATAATCCAAAAATATTTTCTGTTTTTAAATAACCTGCAAAAGGTTGATAAGACAAAAAAGAACAAACAAATCAGTCTATTGATTTATGTTGAACTTGATAAGAGGTCATCATATCAGTTATAACAATTTGGCATAAGGAGATAAGGAAATTGAACTTAAAATAAGTTCTTCAAACTGCTGATCAAATCCGATTATGTGCTCTCTCAGAAACTGTAACTAAGGTCTGCACAGCATAGTTGCAGTATAACCCACATGCTTATGGGCATATAATGTTGAAACATTGGTTCTTGTACCTAGATGAATGACTGCTTGCGAATACCAGGTGCTCTAATCTTGGATGTGGTGTAATGGATAATGGCTCGAAATTGTTAATTGCAAAGCCGAGTTCCAATTTCAGTTGGGTTCATTATAGTATTCACTTATGCGCAAATACCTTTGAGAAACATATGAAATCACCTCTTCTCTCCCAGCTATGGGTTAATTAGTTAGACTAAATCATTTTAAAAAAAAATCTTACAATCTAAGAATACTTTAAAAACAATCAATCATTCCATGAAATGCTGACACAGGCATTTCTTGCAATATTAATGGATGAAAACTACCGTGGCCAAAAAGTGAGGGATCAGTTTTTATATTGATTGTAATGTAGAATTGATCATCCACTTTATATCCACATGATAATTTCTTGTTTGTTTATAAAATTCTGATTAGATATGAATCCCATCCCCCTACTAGCTATGGAGTAATTAGTAAGACTTGTATCACTAAACTATTATTATATCAACAAAAAAAATTCTTACAATCTAAAAATATTTTTCTGGCATTAAATAACCTGCAAAGCTGTAGAAAATGGATCAATCAGTCCATGAAATATTGATTAGCAACACAGACATCACTTGGAATGTAAATACATGAAAACTACCATGTCCAAAAAGTGTTTCAATGTGACATGGCTATAAGTTTGAAAGTGGAAAAAGAAGTGACATTTTTTTTTTTTTTTAGTTTTTAAAGATTTGCCTGTTTGTTTAAATTATCAGAAACTTCCTTTTGCAGATTTACCAAAAATGGCTTTACCGCCATGTCATGTCATGTGTCAGTTTTATGTCAATAATGGAGAACTTTCCTGCCAAATGTATCAACGATCAGCTGATATGGTGAGTTTGCACTATAAACTTTTCACATAATCATCTGTTTATTCGGCTTTATATTTTCCTTTATCAAATTTTGTTTTTTTTTAAGTTGACTCTTTCTAAACCACTGAAAATTAATCCCAATTTTCTCCTCTACACACACACAAACACGTTGCATTCTTACATTTGATCAAGCAGTTCATACTGACAGACCGTCAACATGTGCATCAATGAGAATTTTGGCTCTTTTTCCTTTTTCAGGCCATATTAGTATCATTTATCTCTTAGCACTCCTCAAAAATTTGAGGTAAAAAAAACCTAGTCACTTGTATTTTTCCAACTAAATTATCTAGACACTCTTATCTAGACACGCATCTATAAAAAAAAAAAAACGTACGAGAAAAACTGTATACACTTTGCTTATTCTTCCTCTTATCATTCTGTTGGAGTCCAATCTATATTTGATTTACATTTGATACCAAACTCACAATTTTACTTAGGTACCTTGTCGTTTGACAAGTGACGAAAGACAGATTCATGACGTTTAGATAACTTATGGGAGGATAATTCTTTCTACGGATGGAAGGAAGTGAAATTATTTAGATTTAAGTGAACAAATTATTTACCCCGTTACTTTTAAGGAAAACTTTCAGCGCTCTATTTTATTTTTTTTTTTTTTTTTTTTTTTTTTTTTTTGTACTTAGCTTTCATCTTTACGTTTACGATGCTTTATGGAAAATATAAAGAAATTAAAAAATAAGACTGTTAAGAGTGAGATTAAATTTCATAAGAAAAAGGTATCTAATTAATTTATAGGAACCTTTCTTATGAAATTTTATCAGAAGTGTACATAAAATACTATAATTTTATGTACATTTATTACATTTTACGGTGTTATTTGTATTTCCATTAATTAATTTTGATATTTCATTTATGGAAAAATGTCATAACTGAGATTAATATAAAAATAAGATCATATAAATTAAAGTTTAGCAATAGGTAAATTTCATAAGATGATACTGATACTTATAGGTACCCTTCTCAGTTGAAATTGAAAAATCAAATTAACTTCTCCATACGTGTTTCGCAAAAGTAAAGGCCTTAACAGCGGAGAACAATGCTGAACTCAAATAATGCAACTAAATTGTATTCTGGTTGGTCTTCTGTACTTTATAATTACCGCCCGATTATAAGCACAAAAATTACATTTTTTAATTATTGCGGATCTTCTGATTGGTCCAAACGATACAATTTTCAAAGCGCTAGACAATGACAATCTCATATGGACACTTTGAAAGGTTGATGTTGCTTTTAACTAATGTTATAATATTTTTAAAAAACTTAATAACTAACTTTGTAAAAATCTATTATAATTAAAGAAATAAGAAATAATTGTATTAAAAATTCAATTTTCATTGAAAAATTTTTTGCTTTCAGAAAATATTGTCCATATTCATAAAAACAACTAAAAACAAATAAAAGCATTTGAAATTAAATAATATATTTGTTTTATTGAGTTTTGTATGTTACAATTTAGAGCTGATTTTCTGGTACCGTGGAGTCAATTAAAAAAACAAAAAAAAAACATGATTTTCATTCTTCAAAGCCTTGTGCTTTTTTAACTATTGTAGTCACTAAACCCGATCTTCGAATTTCTAGAGTTTTTCATAAAATTAGTTATGGGGTGTTAATAAAATAAAAAAAAAAATTTCTGCCATGACTTTAATAAAAAAAACATATTTATAATAATTTCGATCATCTGTGAATAGTTTCTGAAAGTTTCATTAACATCTGACAATTATTTTTATTTTTGCAAGATTTTCCAAATTAATGTGTGTAATACATAAAAACGTGCTAAAAATTATCTATGTTATTTACTAGCCCCTGTTGGTACAAAGAGAAACAAGGTTTTTTAATCAAAATTTAGAATGTTCTAAAAAGAAGGAAAAATTTTAAAAAATAATTAAAATAAACTTTGGTCTTTCCTCTTCATAAAAACATAAGCATTTAGATGATAAAATTTTGTTTTCATAAAGTTTGGCGTCTTTTTCATCAGGCTATGCTCTTTTTTTTTTTTTTAGCGATTTCGTGAAGTTACCTAATTTTACTCTCTCTCATTTCTTCAACATCATATAACAACCAGATGATAAATAATACTTGTTTTGTTTCCATGTCTTGCTGTTTCTCATTTTTACAAGTATTTTTTATATATATATATATATATATATATATATATATATATATATAAATGTTAAGGAGAAATATAATTATTTACTCGGCGTTATAAACCCCCTCCCCCCTCCAAGGAGTGTTTAGGGATGAGATCAACTAAAACATGATAGAAAATATAACTTGGAATTTAACCTATTTAATGCCAATTGTCCCATTTTTTGGCACAGTTGGTATTAAATGGGTTACAAATGAAAAAACTAATTATATTGGATTTTTAATAAACTCCTAATTAATATTTTTTTTTTTTATTATTTATTTTTTTTATTTTTTTATTTATTTTTTTTTTTTTTTTAATAAATGTTTCTACGTTTTATGATAGGAATTAATGTGTTAATAATTTTTTACTTGTTTTTTTTTTTTTTTTCCATTTCTTTTACTTTTATACTGAGAAGTAATAGTTGTCTAAATTCTTTACATAAAACATTGTAAACAAACAGCCACACTCAATTTATGAGCAGCCCAATTCCGGTGGCAGGTGGAATTTATGAGCAGCCCAATTCTGGTGGAAGGTGGAATTTATGAGCAGCCCAACTGGAGTGGTGGATGGAATTTACGAGCAGCCCAACTGGAGTGGTGGGTGAAATTTATGAGCAGCCCAACTGGGATGATGGGGAGAACAAGAGTGAACTGAATAAAGCCTGACAGTTTGTAATGAGAAAAAAAAAAAATGAAAATCAACTGGCCTTCCTGGATATACTAATACATTTTTCAAAATATGGGTTTTAGACATTTGTATATCTTGTGGAGATGAACACAATTCTCCAAAAGAGAACTTGGACTTTTTTCAAATACATATAGACTGATGCCAATAATCTTCAGTAGAAGGAGAGAAAAAGTAGAGAATTATAGATCTAGCTTATCAGCTTACTACGAATTTCACCTTTCACCTTTCATATTACTTGATTGTTATCTTCATTCAATGCATTGAAGACATAACAGCGTCAACGAGAATTCGAATTCACACACAAAAAAACAAGTTTTTCCTCTCACTTAGCATAAATAGCTGGTGAAATTCCAAAATTCATTGGAAAAAAATTTGTGGAGTTAGTGTATATCCATAGCATGATGTGAAAGTCAATAAACTTCGAGGCTGTCTGATATACAGCTGTTAGGAAAAAAATGAAACCTTTTTCTTCCTAGTTAACAACTACTTGTACAAACAAAATACACTATGAGTGAACTGAATAGAACCTGACAGTCTGTAATGGAAAAAAAAAGCCTTCCTCAATATACTAACACATTTTTTTAAATTATGGGTACAAGACATTTGTATATTGTAAGCCAACATTCAGCAGACATTCAATTGTATGCTGATCACTTTTATACCACAGTGAAGTAAGCACAGAAAACTAACAATATTAGGATTTTATGATACGGTGATGAAAAATCGCAGAAACTTCAAAGAAAAGTAATATATGCGTCTACTGGGGCTCAAGTTCATCCCTAGACCTCAGGAATTCATATATTTGTATTATCGCTAAAGAAGCTGGAAAAATGATCAGGTGCTTGTACTCCTTCAGTAAGTGTGGGAAAATGAAATAAAACCAATAAAATAATAATAAACAAAAAAATAAATTTTCTCTTGATGCAAGTTATAAAGAAACCAGAAAGAGTTTCTAGTAAAATGTGCGATTTTATGTCCCAACTTCCAGATAAGACAGAATCTTTCTCTTTCCAACGAGATTATTCGGTTGTGTTTTCAGCAGCTGTTGTTATGAAGTAGAGATTTGGCCACCCCAACTAAGCATGAGGCTGATTTGAGCCTGACCATATTTACCCATTCTTATCTTTATTTCCCATAAATCATTTCTGAACCAAATAGGAAAACAGACATACTCAAGAGATATTTAACTTTGTTTCAATACAGTCAACATAAAAGAGATAAATATCTGTAGCAGTCTTTTTGTCTGCTTTTTCTAATTTTGTTTATAAATTGAACACTAACATTCACCTAAAAAATCTACAACCTTGTTAACATCCACACGAGTACCTGACTTTACCTACCATGTTCTATCTTTACAAGTGACATATCTGGAGCTACACAATCCTCCCTTTTTAGACGGATTTTTTTTTTTTTTTTTTTTTCCAGTGAGGTTCACCCCTTACAAGTTCTGGGGGCTGCTTGAGGTAGAAGATTATGTTAGGAGGCAAGTTGGGCAGATAGGAGTTTGAATCCAAAAAAAAAAAAAAACTGAATAAAGGCTTCATTGGATGTTGATGTGGCTATTTTTGTTTACAAAAATTTGAAAAAATTAATGTGGGTTTAATTGATGTTACACCTCATGTAGAGTCTAGAAGAATTCAAAATGGCATCGGAAAATGGAAGTTTAGCCTTGTTCTAAAGCAGTAGTAGGCAATTTCCAGCTTAAAGTCATGGAAAGAACAGTTGATAAATGTTTATTTATAGCTACCATCACAAGGCGACATAATGCACCTTGAGCAGCAAAGGGAGAGAATTCTATGGCATCAATATTCAACTCTGGTGTGGTAAAGGTCAAAAAGTGATGAATGGGAATAAAACCTAAACATATGAAAGTGATTTTATACATTTCCTTTGTTCTTGAGAATTGACAACAAAAATAATAAATACTATTTAAATGGGTACAGCATAGACAGTAGTCTCGATCAGCTGAACATCTTAACGTAAAAAATAGTAAAGATGCACAGTTGCTATGTTTGTATTTTACAGCATGATACTAATATGTGATTATTACATTTATAATTATTGGATACAGTTAAGTAAAACATCAGTTTTATCAAAATCATGTTTATTTTAAATACAGCTGTACTTTTTTACTACAGTAAATGGATATACAGTTTGGTCAACAGTACATATGCTAATTTTATATCTTGTGTATGAAATTTAAATTAGCTTTAAAATTAGGTCTTCAAAAGTTGCATAATATGCGAGTATATATGGTGTATGTCATAAATTTCAGTCACTTGTGAAACAAAAATGTGTTCAAACACCACCTATTGAAAAATGCTACAAAATTTTGTTCTGATCCAAAATTATGCCACCAAATTGCTAAACCAACACTTTAATCCACTAAGCTATTGTTCTGTAAGATTTATATATTGTTTATTATTCTTTTCAGGGCCTTGGAGTTCCGTTTAATGTTGCCAGTTATTCCTTACTTACTTACATGATTGCACATATCACTGACCTGAAGGTGAGTCTGTAACCTTGTGTTGAAGTCATTAACAGCTGTAGAAATCATACAACAATAATGAAGATCAAAAAGATTAATGCTAATTATAATTGTGCTTCTACCTCCCTTCGTTAGTTAGCATGATCGTTACATCCTTCCACTATCTCATAAATAATGGACTATTCTGTGTTTCGATTGCATGGGAAGGGGGGAAATACACTACTTGGTTCCAGTGAGAAAATGAAAGAATGATGGGAAGATACAAGTGCAGAGAGAGAGAGAGAATCAGATTAAGCTGATAAGAACAGATACTTCACTTTGATCTGTCCAAAGGCTGAAAGTGAAGTGCCATTTTTCAGATGCACAGTATCAAATGATGGAAACCAATAAAAGCAATCCAGTTACTATAAATTAAATAAAATAACATCGTCTGCTGAATTATTTTTTAATTATTATTAAGAGAAATGCACACAAGACGAGGATTTGGCTAGAAAGAAAGAAATAAGGGAAGATAAAACTGTTTAATGTCTCCTGCCAATACCTCATAAATAATGGACTATTCTGGTATTGTTGGCAATTCTGCTATAAAATGTATTCTCTGCAATTCTGCTGGGAATAGATATGGTTGGTAATTCTCATATAAAATGCATTGTTGGCAATTCTGCCATAAAATATATGGTTGGCAATTCTGCAAATAGGTATGGTTGGTAATTCTGCTATAAAATGTATGGTTGGCAATTCTGCTATGATTAAGTACAGTTGCCACTTTTACTATAAAATGCATTGTTGGTAATTATGCAATAAAATGTATTGTTGCCAATTTTGCTACAAATAGTTATGTTGACAATTCTGCTATAAATGTAGTTGCTATTTCTGTATTGTCAATTCTGCTATGGATAGTTATGTTGGCAATTCTGCAATAAAATGTATTTTTGCCAATTCTGCTACAAATAGGTATGGTTGGCAATTCTATAAAATTTAGTTGTCAATTCTGCAATAAAATGTGTTGTTGGCAATTCTGCAATAAAATGTATTGACCCAATTATAATCAAATTGGGTAAATGTAACTAAGTTCAATGCTAATAGTTTTTTTCCTCGCACTTCTCGCTTGTGGATTTCGTTTCCAGTTTGATGGTTTCCAACTAACTTTTATATTTTCCAATGGTACTTGTGCATAAGTGAAAGTAACTTACTCAAATTCTGAGAATACCATGGACTGTACTTGTTAGCAATAACAAAGTTTTAGCAAAATTAAAACAAAGAACCCTTATACTTAACATGAATTCTATATTAATTTAAGTACAATACAAGATTGGCACCAACGTCTCATGTAACCATAAGTTCTATGCTAACAGTTTCTTCTGTCGCACATCTTGTTTGTGGAACTTCTTTCTGTCTTTTTGCTTCCGAGTCAACTTTGCATTTCAATTTTTGAAGATTAATGTCAATCGTTATCTTCTGTCTTCTTAATTCCTGTTCTTTTATTGTCTTCTATCATTAATAGTAATTTTTCTCCTATTCTCTAACACTCAATTATTTACTGTCTTGTTTGGTGTGAAATGATTTTAAGAAATCCTAATGAGACAGTTGAAATTTCTAGGGCACATAATGATGTGATACTCACAGAAGAAATCAAAGACAAGATGCACAGAGGAAAACAGCACATGTCTGTATCTTCAATACCCGGTTCTGCCAACCATTTATACCTGGCAGAACCGGGTTTTGGAGATACAAAACTAAATGACAAAATTTCTTGAGAGTTACAAAGTAGAGGAAATTGTGGAGAGCCATGATCGCCAACGTCCGTTAGGAATACATTTATTTCTAAATGTGTCTTGAATTAATGAGGGAGGTTAAAAATTTAATAATACTTCAGTTTGTCTAATTCTGATAGAATTTTTTTTTTTTAGGAATTATTTAAAAATATTCATAAGAAATGAATCATCAAATCAATTAAATCCCGAACAAAGCAACAACAATGTTGTATTGTTGAACAAAGGGAAGGAACATGACCAGCGCCATGCAGACAACTATTGATTGTTAAGACGAACTGTTTGTTTCAGAGACCTTTAGAGAATCAGCTATGAAATACTTAAAGCTTATCTGATAACCATTTTTCAGCTTGTATCTTGTGCTAGGAGCCAATGTTGAGTAGTGAATGATGGCTCAGAGAGCCATGTTCGAATATCAGTTGAGTCCGTTAGATTCATATATGCAAATATCCATTGGGAAGGTATGATTTCATCATTTTTCCACTCGGCTATAGGTAAATAGCATGACAGATTGGGTCCTTGGGTAGCAACAGGTCTAGGTAAGAGACAACACTGAATTCAAAACCTTCAACTCTGGGTAAATAGTAGGGTAGTCTGGGCTCTGTAGCCTTGGTTGGCAACTAGTCTTGAAGGACAACTCTGAACTCAAAATTGTATCCCTAGCAAAGTATATACTATTCAGCTAAGGAAAACGTCATGGAATCCTTACTATGGCTGAACTTATTTCTTGCTATCAAAATCAAAGATAATCATGTCCAGAGATGTAATAAATCTCTGGACATGATTATCTTTGATTTTTTGAGATGAGGAATTATCCATGTAAAATCAACTACCCGATTCTTGCTGCTGTTAGGCTGTCTTCCCATGTTTTGTCACTTTATATGCTCTAAAGAAAACTTTGTCACCAACCTCGAAACTTTTAGTGTCATTTTTTGTTATCTGTTTGTGTTTTTCGACTTTGTTATAACTTGTTGAACACCAATTTTACTTTTCTGGTAAACATTAATTCTGCCAGCAACATGCCTGATGGTATATATGGGGTTAGGTGTTACATGGTAAACTCTCAGAAAATTTTGAACTGCTTCCTCATTTACTTAAGAATTGCTTTCTTTGCTCTTTTGAACATTCTCATTCAGTTATCATTCCACTTCCAATTTACAATTTTTTTTTAAGTAGATTGTTTAGCAGAGTACTCAAATTAGGCATATGTAAATATATTTGAATCTGTATGTTTCAGAGAGATCCAGCTTTGAAAATATTTTTCCACTGTTTAACTTCAAAGAAATTTCTTCTGGACTTGGTTATGGGTTTCTAAACAACTATTTAATCCTGTCAAAAAATCCGCGCAAACATGAATCTTTTTTTTTTTTTCTTTCCATACATCACTCGTGCAGCCCATTTTGAATAGTTAATTTTTTTTATTACACCAATTTATTTTTGAGTCGGTCCAACTCTTCATTGACTTATTCCAATGCTGCGAATGGTACACTCCGTTTCGGCTTAAATGCTGGTGTCAAACCTCTTTTTTCTTAAAAATCTGCTTTGAATTTTGAACACCAACCCAATTCATTTGACAGAACATTTGAAAAAGATTTTTTTTAATTCTTAAGATTTTTGCTCTGATTTTTTTTAAATTGGTTACTTGTCCACTTATGTTTTTACAAATAAGGGTATTTTAACAAAATCAAGAAATACAAGAAAGAAAAAAAAAACCAAGTAGGCACTGGAAATTTTAAATGTTATGTTCTTCTTGCTGTGTTGGTGGTCTTTAATAACTTAAGGCGAAATTCAACATCCCCCCCCCCACCTGCCAAAAAACATTTGTCTCTGCTACATCCCTGAATAAGATTAAAACTTAACTGTTATCAACAAAACTAGATAGGAATTTTCATATTTGAAAACTAATTTAAAAGTTATTTAATACTTGAACATCAAACAATAGCCATTTCATGCTAAAATGTTTGGATTTTGATCTGTGTTTAAAATCCCTTTTTTTTTTTTTAAAAAAATCTAAGGAAATGAAATTTTATTTTTTAAAAATTGTCGAACCCATTACATTCACTTACATGCTAATACCCTTAGGAAAGATATGAATCCTCCTCTTCTCCCAGCTATGGGTAAATAGCAGGACAGACTGGGTTCTATAGCCTTGGATGGCAACTGGTCTACCACAGAAAGAAATGGCAACCTACTGCAGAAAAAAATCTGCCTCATCAGTCATGTATCAAAAGATACATGATTGCCTAAGTGTGTATCACATATGGCACATAACTGAATAATATAATGTAATAATCCATCTCACAAGTTTGCATGAATGGATGACAGAACAAAGATGGCAGTAAATAGGCAAGAGTTGCTTAGAACAATAAAAGACAGGATGTTGTGAAGTGTCATGTATGATATGTAAAATATTGGTTGTATTTTTATTTATTTATATTTTATTTAATATTTATTTTTACTTTTAGCCTGGCGATTTCATCCATACTTTAGGGGATGCCCATGTCTATGTTAATCATATAGAGCCCTTAAAAATACAGGTAAGATGAAAGTTTGAAGTTGTACGATAGGCACTGCAACCAGAAATGATAATTTTTGACAGTTTTTTTTTTCTTCATATTATTGTGGATAAAACCCTCCATTCAAGATCATGAATAAATTTTTTTTAATTGTATAAAAGTTATGTAATTGGTCAAATTTACTATGTAAAGTTAAGTAATCCCCCTCTATGAAAGTCAAAATAAATATGTTCATATGTGATTTCTTAAAATGTAAAAAAACAAGTCAATAATCAGGAGCTTTTTTTCCTTATACTATTGTCAATTAAATACACCAAATTATGGATTTAAAAAAAAAAAAAAAGTTTTTTTTTTTTTTTTTGCATTAAAAAAAAACAAACAAAAAAAACACATCATATGAGCATATTTTGTTTTGGTTTCCATGGAGGGATTAATTTATGATGAATTTACATAGCAAACTTGACCCCTGTAATAACATTTTTATGATTTTTAATGAAAATGAAAAAGACTTTGTGTTTTTTTGTTCTGGTTTCAATGACTACCTATTGTGCAACTGTTTTCTTTTTATTTTCTTTCTAGGGAATTTTATTCAATAATTAGACTGCTCCCCCCTCCTTACCCCCAATAGTTCACAGTGCATAGCTTTTTCAAAATGTCTGAAGGTTGGAGATAGATATTGATTTTGATGTGTAAATTTTTATTCTTTACATGTGGATAAGGCTATTATTGTATTTTTTACAAGTATGTTATGGATGGAGTTTGGTAGGTTATTGTGTGTGTGTGTGTGTGTAAATACAATTATACAAAATTATATATATATATATATATATATATATATATATATATATATATATATATATATATATATATATATATAATTTTTTTTTTTTTTATATAATCATTGCAACACTGAAATTCCTATGTTTCAAAACTGAAACCACAATTTAAATTCAATCATTTTTAGCATTGCTTGATAATGGAATGGAGCTTTGTATTTTAAATTTAATTTGTATGATTGAATTTAAATTGAGGTTTCAGTTTTGAAACATGGAAATTTCAGTGTCGTGATGGTTATATATTTTAAAAAAAGAATTATGATATTATGCTCTACTGTTGTATTGTGCACTGTTTTTTTTTTTTTTTTTAAATAAAAGTAAATGCTAAGAACTCTGAATTAGAAAATATTGTTCTTTCCTATTATTTTAATGTAGATATATATATATATATATATATATATATATATATATGAAATGCATCTTAAGAAAATGTTTATTTCGTAATCTCACCCCCCCTTTTTTAACTGAACATTAGAATGTGTTATTTTTTTTATCTTCTTGGTTCATTTTTGTGAAATGCTTGATTCTTTGATTTTATTTTCTATGCTGATATTTTTTTGTTTTTTTCTCCAGCTTCAACGTGCCTTACACCCTCTTCCAACCCTGAAAATCAACAGAAAAGTGACTGACATCGATGATTTTAAAATTAATGATTTTGAGATTATAAACTACAAACCACATGGCAAAATCCAAATGGATATGGCTGTCTGAGAATTTAAAGTTGGCACACACAGAGACTCCACAACATTATTCATTAAGATTCTTTTCCAATTCATTTAGAGAGTGGAAAAATTAAAAATTGAATAATTCTTTTTTTATAAAATACAATATAAAATGAACTTTACAAAAATAAAACTTATTTTGAAAACATATTGTAAAAACAATGGCAAAATATATTGAGTTGCTGTATGTGTAACAGCATTGCATTTATCATTTTTATGACATCTTTAAAATTTCGGGTAAGACTTCTTTCTTGTTTTTGTCAGTTGCAGTGTAGGAGTCTCATTATGCCTAAAAAAAGGTGATGACTTGCAACATTACAACATGTATGGTAACCAGTTCTGGATTTATATATGGGTTTGTATGGGTTCCAAGACTAGAGTGGCTCCTGAGGGCCCTCTTGTCTTGAGTTCATGATAAAATTAAAAAAAAAAAAAAATAAAGATATTAGAACACAGATTTGTTTATTTTTCAGATTTAATGGGGCTACATTGAACTAATTTTGAAAAAAAAAAAAAAAAAAAAAAAAAAATAGTATTTGGGCCCCAGTAGTTGGAGTGGATCTTTTAAATATGATGGGGGCCCCCTTTAGATATTGATTTATCTTTTTATGTACATTCAAATTTTTGAAGTAGCATGGTTGTACCAAGTCAGAATTTTCCTTCTCCATCATCTTTGTTTTTGAGAATGCTGTGCTAATGAATTTGAATACTAGAATTTCAGTTTAATACCAGCCTTTTATTCTAGATGAATTTTTGTAGGATGGAAAGTTTGGATAAAAAGTATGAAGTTGCTAATGAAATAAAATGGATGAGTTCCAAAATCATTAAAAATTTTAGTGAAAGTGTTTTGGGTTTGACACAAAAAAAAAAAACAATTTAAAAACATATCTTTTTATTTTATAGACACAGTGGTGGGGATACATAAGGAAAGGGGCTCCCAAATTCTATTAGCCCAGGGGACTCATAAATCTCACCCTGGTGTTAACTAGATTAGAGGTATCCAAAGATGGGTCTGTAATACAATTGGTCCTAACCTGGCATCTTGACTTCAGTCACTTTCCCACCTCTCTCATGTGGCTTCTCTGTCTTTTCTACAAATATTTTCATGGCAATTGTTCCGTGAGCTTTTCTCCTTAGTGCATTGACTGCATGACTTTAAGTGTACTATTAGATTGGCCACTAGGTCTCATTGTTGAACTAGCTGGAGGTAACTCTAAGTTCTATTCTAATAGTTTTTCTCACACTTCTCACCTGTGGAAATCTCTTCCAGTTTCTTTCTTCCCTCTCACTTGCAATCTCCAAAAAGTAATGTAATGCCAATTGCCATCTGGCTTCCTGAATTCTGTTCTTCTCTTTTTCACTCTCAGTAGCACTTGCATCTTAGTGGCATTATCACCTTGCTTGAGGTGAAATAATTTTTTTTTTTTTTTTTTTTTAAAGAAAAAAAAAAAAGGGGGTCCTTTGATTTGCTTACTTTTAGTGCATGAGTGATTTCTTTGATTTGGGAATCTAGGCTCTTATACAAAATATATATTCACTTTATCATATTCAGTTGTCTTACAATTCTAATCATTGTTTTTTAAAATATTGTTGAGGAGTGAAGGTAGTTAAGGTAATAGTGGTGTCATCGAAAAAACCATCCTTGTGACACTTATTGTGGGCATGAAGGTCCAAGTGCCGAATTTTAAGTCACTTTTCCATTTTCTTTTTTTTATTTTATTTGTTATCAGTTTGCCCTATGCAAGGTAACAATGTCACTAAGATGCAAGGGGCCACTCTGATAGAGAATGAAAAGGTTTTAGAAGGAACTGGAAACCTAATCCTAAACTGGTATCAAGGGAAAAACATACTCTTGTTCAAAAGACTGGGGAGGATGTGAACCGGGCGATAGGCGAACCTACCCACTCTTATTGAGGAGAAAGAACAAAAAAAAAAATTGAATTAAATTGTAGGTAGAGACGTGAGAAATTTGAAGTATAATTTAGAAGGAACCAGAAACCCAATCTTAAACAGGAAACACGGTATAAATCTCTACTCCTGTTTGAAAGATGGAGGAGTGTGAACCGGCCGATAGGCAAACCTATCTGCTACTGAGGAAAAGAAAAAAATTAGTAAATAAAATTTCAGAGTTCAGACAGATATTAAAAGTATAGAATTGAATTAGACTGTAAATGGGATTGGAAACCCAATCCTAAACAGGAAATTAGTTAAGCTGAAATGCGTTGTGTGCTGATGAGTAAAATTAAATTTAGATTGAAAAAGTAGACAGACGTTTGACAACCAGAATTTATTTTTATTGAAAGAAAGTTGAGAAAAATGTTTTTGTAAAAATAAGTATAAGCTCAGAGATTGGTAAAATTTTGAGAGAACGTTTGTTGGTTAATTCATGTTTGTACAAAAGAGGTTTAACTGGCTTTTTTGTGGTTTAAGGCTTTGACAGCAAGGATATTGGTAAGATATTTCGGGATGTAAAGTTGGTGCGTTTCTCTGGTAGTCCATATTGAAAAAATATTGAGGTTTTTCAACCCCCCCCCCCCATACAGTCTTTACTCAATTATCTGGATATGAAATAAAGAAAAACATTTTTCAATTATCTAAACTAAACTCTTGCTAATATTTGATCTGAAGACACGCTTTGAGAATTTAAGAAGCCATACTCATTGTTAAATAAAAATGTGGAGAAATTGACTTGGTTGGGCGGGAAAAGACCAGTGTACTTATCTTGTATTGTTGAAATCTTTACTTGTGCCACCATTGGAAAATAGTAAATTGAAAAAAAAAACCCCAAAAAAACTAAGACAAAAACACTAATACTGATGACCAGACGAAGGTAAAATGAAAGAAAAAGGTATTTGTTTTTAGTTTTTTTTTTAAATTTTTATAGAGGGGTGGGTACTAGAAGAAAGTAATTAAATTTCTTGTCCATCAGAGAGATAAAACAGACCATCTGATTTCGGTTAGGACTGAGATTAAGTGAAGGGATATTCTTGGAAGTCCAAGGACCTCTCGGAAAGAAATAATATTTTTACGATCACTGAGTGACTGAGAAGAAGACGAACATCTGGCCGCGAATTCGGTCGATGGGTAAGGATTAACATTTAAAAGGAGTCAGCAGAAAATAGATAAGAATGAAAATTAAAATTTTTCGTCTGCCGAAATGCAATAAAACTTCAAGGGATTGTTCCCTTTTTGTCCCTTGTTGGCCAAAGGGTTAAGGGAGTAAAAAAGATGATAAAACCCAAATACGAAAACAACCACACACAAAAGCACTATAAGAGAATTTTGAACGATAATTAAAATTTGGGCAAGGTCGATTTTACTGTTTTTATACTACAATTCTCCAATATGATAAAATCGACCTTGCTAGCCGAAACGTTCCCCTGTGGCTAAACCGGTAAAGCACGTCAGGCTATATGACGGTTCCGTGTAGGATATAGGTTCGTTTCCTGTCAGAGGACGCATATTTTCTATGAAAATTTCTCGGATATTCAGGCCGGTAACTGGGCACCTCGACGTGGCGTAATGGTTAGAAAGATTTACTTTCAAGATCAGTTACAACTGAGTTGTGAGTTCGATCCTCACTGGGTACCCCATAATTTCGGCCTTGTGCCACATCTAAGCTGCGCTTAGAAAATCACTATTCAGGCCGGTAAATGTCATTAATACTGTATTATAAACATAGCATTTACTTAAATATTTGTACCTATAAAAAGAACGTATAAACAAAAATTTCTTTATATATATGTGCGTGTGTGTGTATATGGTTTTGTGTATGTCTTAGTAATATCGAAGTCTCTCTGAGAACAAAGTATGTTTGTCATTCTTTTCCCTTTCAGCCATTCTGTTCCGTCCCTGTCCATGAGCAACGTTGTTGTCGTTATATCATGCATGTAACAGTGTCCATAACGAGAGAAACGTAATTGGGAGAATAAATCTTTCTTCCTTTACTCTCCCTTCGTTACAATGCTTTGTCGAGGATTGCAGATTTAGCTGGTTTATATGGAACGAAGTTAGAACCACCATTGAAATTTAATTGAACTTTTTCAGGAATAAATTTCAACGCACGGAAGTATTTTATATATATTTATATAACGAATAATATGCTCCACAAAAGAGAGAAAAATTACTATGTATACATATGGCTGAAAAGAGTAAGAAAAACTATTTACAAGGTCAGCAACAGTAGTGTATGGGTGTGAGTGAGTTCATGCATACGTGAGATACACCACATGACCGGGTGTCTAAATCTCTCTAGATGGAAAGACTGGAAGAGTTTTATCTACCGCATTCTAGAACGAAGAGAGGGGCACAGAGAAAGAGAGAGGCGGTAGCTATATCCGTCCTAGTCAGTAAGTTATGTGCCGTGCGTGATATACGCTTAGTCGATCATGTATCTTTCGATACATGCATGACTAGGCAGATTTTTTTCCCGTAGTAGGTTGCCACTTCTTTCTGCGGTAGACCAGTTGCAATCCAAGCCCAAAGAAACCGGTCTGTCCTACTATTTGCCCATAGCTGGGCGGGAGAAGAAGATTTATACCTTTCCCAAGGGTATTAGCGCGTAAGTGAAAGTAATAGATTCGACTGGAATTCGAACTCGGCTCTACCGATTCCTCAATCCGGGCCGCTATCACATTACAATCCTGAAAGAGCACCACCGAGTGGACGTCTTGGCAGTCCAGGCGGGGGTAATCCCCACAGCTTAGCAGTTGTTTATCACTTGTAGCTTAATACCCTTTTTGCTAACTGCTATTTGGAGCAGAGCAAATGTAAATAATCAATTTCAACAATCCTCTCAAACACATTCGGAAAGCTTTATTGCAATGTCATATCTCTGCTGAGCTAAACTATACCCATATTGCCTTTTCATTCTTATAAATGGTAAACTTTAAAATATTAAATTGTAATTGATTTCACTAGATGAACAATTACTATTGTTTTAAATATTTTCTTAAAAAGCACATTAAAATGCCTTTTTACGTTTGTTCT